TTTGTTAACTTATTAATTCGACAAGTCTTTCAAAAACCGGACGAGAGTAATACAATATAGAGTAAGCTTATTTATCTTTATAAAACGACGTGCGTTTCTCAATGTATTACAGACTTAAAACAAGTACACAATAAGCACAAGGTCGTTGCAATAATTAATATCGAGTCCGTAATGTGTGATCGACGCATTATGCTAAGCTACAGCGTTTAACGCATTGCATAATTTATCACTTGTATTAAAATCATACTTAGCTATTAATATCATGACAGACTTGCAAACTTACAAATGCTTATCAAAGATAAAACCGGTTTATAGATTTACTAGCTGTCGCCCGCAACTTCGTCTGCGCCTTATTATGTTCTACATCTATGCCAAATTTCATAGAGAGCTGATGTACCCTTGTGGATACCTTTTAACAAACATCCATCCATCACTGTAAACAGTCGCATTTATAATATTAGTAAGATACTTTAGGCACATTAGAGAAAAGACTATACTAAAATTAGATGCAACAAAATGCACTTGCGTATCGAATCAAATATTGCACAGGACAAATATAGCTGCGAGAATTAGTAAAATAACTTGACTCAATATCGGTTAAATTGTCAATTCTGTAACAACCGACGTAATAAAGAGAAGAAGTAGAGTCCGAAATATGTAGATGTGACGGAATACTTTTATTTATAATAGCTTCAGAATCTAAAAAATATAACTACTAAAACCTTTTAGACGTACGTAAAAATCTTTCAATGACATTGTAAGCCTTCAAAGACCTTACCATCTGTCACGTAACCGTAAAACGTGACTAGCATACTCTATTACGGCTCCAATTAGGGTAAAACATTGCTACGTAAAATTAATTTTAAACCTAAATTGTAGTCACGTGCCAACGATTGGGTGGGCCAGCTCTTAATATGGAGTCTGCGGATCGAAACCGGAACAGACTGCGATGACTTTTTCGGAAGTTGTGTGCGTTTAAATATTACTAGTCACGAAAGTATTGATGTACACAACACTTGTTTTGTGATACCAAATAAGTAGTGGTATTTCATGCTTCTGAGTTTCGTGTGAATAAATTGTTAAGGTCCAACCCCTATTTTCTCTCTTCTCCGTGTTGTTTTTCATTACGTCAAACATATTGACTGTAATCATTTAGTATCAAGTGACCCATAATACTAAACCTGTATACTTTGAAAGATATTTCTTTTCTGTCTTACTTTCTCTTTTTTTATAAGAGAAGTGGGCAACGAGCGGCGTTCTCGCCGAGGTGATCAACGACATCCAGGAACATCTGCAACGCCAGAGGAACTACAGATGCGTTGATATTATTTAGTAATTTTAATTTTAATTATTCTATTTAGTCATCTAGACTAAGGGACTTCCTTATTTATCAATTAATAACTCTGATTATAGTAGGTACACTCTTAAAATAATCATCTTTATTTTCTACATTTCTAGTATTATTTACTTGTATGAAAAAAAAATTCTCATGACCATGACCTGTCCAATTAACATGTGTTCAGCAACGCACAAACGTTCATATTACTGTCGAATACAAGTGCGAATTCATCAATGAATCACAACGCGGTTGCATAATCTGAATTATAATCTCGAAACACAGAGAACATTTCGTTTTAAGTAAATTCAAACTCAATAAAAACAAGTCTTACATAGTTAGAATAAATTGCCATTATTTTTAGTTAATACTAGCTGTCGCCCGCGACTCCACCCGCGTGGAATGAAAAAAAAAACTTAATTAGATCCTGGCAATTTTTTTAATTTTTCCCACCTTTTAAACCTCCACGAACATTTCAAGACCAAGATAAGATACACCCGTTCACCCGTTCTCGGGTTTTAGCGAGACTAACGAACAGCAATTGATTTTTATATATATAGATAGATTATGACTATTATATTTAATTCTACATAATCAACTGTGTCAAAAGCCATCAATAACAAAAACAATCGATGAAGTTTGACATAAAAGTAGAAAGTCTGTAAGAACACATAGGCTACACGAGTACTAAGTTTTACTTTTAATTCCGCGCGTACAAAGTCCCGGGCAAAAGCTAGTTAATACATAAATTGTATTAATTTCTAAGATTACTTAAACTTATAATAAAATCACGTAGAGACCAATAACCACAGAATATGACACTGATATTTGTGCCAAAATACCGTTGCCCTGTGTACTACTTTGTACACTTGTTTGCCAAATTTAACGATAACATTCATTTTGGTAGGTCGTGTAAAATTTGGTTTAACAAATTAAAGTAACAACTTAATTTCTATATTACCCGTTAAAGAGACATGGCCGTGAGAATTAATTTAGGGGATTAATAACATTGCATTTTTTGTTTCAAAAAAACGTTAGAATAAGGTTGAATAATAGAAGTAAAAAGTGTCTGCAAAAACTATTTAAAACGTTTCAGAAACTTTTATGTTTGACAAAAAAGACTTCTTTAATTGCGATATTAAAAATGATTAATTCAATAAATAAATTCCCAATGTACCATTACTTTCTGGAATAACATTTAATAGTATAGTAATCGGTTACACTAACGCACAATATCTAACATCTCATCGAATTTGTTTTCCGATTCACTTCTATAGAACTGCACTCTTCTTAAGTTACAGAATCAACCGTTTAATTCCTGGAAATTTAATCGTTCAGTACATATAATTTTCACTTTCTTCGAATTAAAATAAAACAACACACACGAAGGTATACTTTAATAAAAATCACAATATTCATTTAAAAAATCCTTCTCTAAAATACAACTAACAAAGATTTTAAAGAAAATTAAAATTAAAGGTGTAAAATTTTTAAGTTTTTAAAAAATGCCATTTTTTTTAATGCCCAGAGGGGAATTTTTATTTTATTTTTCTGGTGACCCTTGTGACCACCCCTATCATCCCCCTTCCTATGTACGTAACCTTTTGGGACATCCTGTATAATGCAATGCTATCATTTTTTCTATTCAGATGATTTCAGCAATCTATTATTGTCAATATTAATATGTCGTAAAAAGAAATTTGCTACGATCAACAATTTGCATAAAAAATGACCAGACGTCGCAAGGGGACCTTGACTACGGTTAGTTTCATCTTTAGCGGTTGCAGAGTCTTCTTTATCGTTGTTCAATTTAGATATTGTCTAAATCTCGGTCTTGGTCCACTGACACCGACTTTTTCATTTAATAAAGATAAATATTTACGCGTTTGTACGTCCCAAAGTGTTTTTGTCGACAGTAATTCAATCGACCTGTCAAAAGAAACGCTACACTGAACGGAATACTTTCAGAGAATATCAACGTTTCAATTTTTATACTTCGAATTGGTTATTTGTTGAATGAACTGACTGATTGATATTTTACAATCCTTTTATTGTATTTATTTACTCATTACAGGTAAGTGTAATTTAATTATTACTTAAATATTAGTATAATTTAAGTAGTCTTACCTATAATCATGCTTTCGTTGGAACTTGGTTTATTATCTTGTTCATATAATTTAAGAATATTTCATTATAAAACATCATGAAAATAATCGACAAGGGTTTAATATTTGTTGGATCCATATGTCATATGCATGTATGTATGTCCCTACATCAAATAATTATATCAAATTTTTGCAAATAAAGTGCCGGGATATCTTTAAAAACTACAATTCCCGAGGTCGTTGAGCCTAGAACATCAAAAGGTAGTACAAAAGACAATTCGACAACAGTTATGAAATGAAATCGGATTTGATATTTAATAGCGCGGTGATCGAGGCCAAGACGGAGGTACAAAAAACAGTCCTCGTCTCAGGTCCCGCAAAACCAAAGTTCACGACTGCTATAATAAACTATAAGTTATAGAAGGGAAAAGAAAATACTATTCTTCTTTTATTATAATAGATACTTGACGTGACGTTACACTTTCTCAAAAATATTATAAAAATGAATCAAAACAACTCTATCAATCATCTTTAACATCGCTTTATGATTTTTGTCAATAAAGTGACAACCCTAATAAATGCCTTACAATACGATAAACAACAAATTATTGCTAATTTAGGAAATAATTTTATTATCATTAAATTAATATGATCTTAACTTTATAAGTACAAATTTAATTTAGAAGTACTTATAGTCTTATTGGAAATTAATATTTTACAATCGTGAGTATTATTGTGGCTATTAGTAAATGAGAAGTCTGGCGCCTTAAATTCAAATATAACTGCTGAGTAAGACATCATCCCTGCATAAGTTGCATTACTCACTGTCGAGAGCGAATTTTGCTCGACAAAAATAGCAGAATTCTTTTTTCTTACAAGCAAAAAATTTAATAGACGTTTTTTCAATCAGTTTTTATACAAATCAGTTTCTTAGTGCACATGGCACTTTCGATAGTCAGTTTTCCAGTATGCAAATTATCACACAAATTAACTCGTGGAATATCGATAAATTATTCTTTCACATAAATATATATTCTCATTTTAACAAAGTTTACCAAAACCAATGAAACTGTATCGAAGTTAAATAAGATCTCTATCAACTTCTTACAATGTTTTAAATATTGTTTATTCTGTTTATCAGGTTGCATAATCTTAATAAGTAAGAGTAACTATTATATTATAGATTGACTTTTATTGTTTTCTTTAAGGTTAAAAAATATAGTTCGATTCAATATTTTTGCAGTGAACGTAATTGTTAAATTTAAAATACCAAATTGTTATTTTATATTTTACAATTAATTCTGATTCAGATTGAGATTTAAAGTAATTTTATTATTATAAGTATTTTAGTTTATATTTAAATTCTCAACTTTAGATGACTTTCTACGAATTTTAATACTGCATACATCGGAAAATTTAAATCTATTTAAAACTTACATAACATAATAGTTAAGATAGTTACATCTGTAGAAAATAACATCAAAGTTAATTCTAACGAACAGTAGAACTGAGAGATATGGCGATACTTGGATAACTTGGTTCATTGAAATTTTACTCACTGAAACTTTTGACAGCACTGAATCGTGTAGCCGACCTTAAGAGGCAGAAACGAGTCCTCCTCAAATCGATCAGTACAATGGCAATGATAAAATCCAGTCACTAGCACTGAACACGGCACTCTGAAAATCAAGTTATCACTTCACGAATGTCCCGCCACGGGGCCCGTGACTAAACCCGTTCCGGAGGATACCGAATTACCGGTTTTAGGAAAGGTCACTCTTAACGTTTGCAGCAAAGCAGACGGTTCCACTTCAACAGCGTTCGGGTTGAAAGGAAAGTCTTAAGAAAGTTTCGTGTGTTGAACTTTTTTCGCGATCGAGGGATGTGCGTCGCGGCGCCGAGCAACACGTCCGTCGCCGGCGGTCGCGTGGTGCACACTGGCGCCGAGCGGGGCGCGAGCGCGTTGTCGCACCGCAAGTGTGCAAGCAAAGCCTCCGTGTACTTACACGTGCATTTGTGTGCGTGCCCACTAGCCACTTCGCGAACTTCTCTACCGAGACATTGCTGCGATACGGTGGAAATTATTGCACGTCTTACATTTCTCCTTTTGTTAACTAATTCTGTTTCACCTGGCTCCACATTCATTGGCATACGCTACAAGATACGTCGAGAGGCTGTTCAATAAAACACAACGGTTGCGATCGACTGCGGCATCAGGTTCTAAAGCTTTGCTCGTTTATCGGCGCGCGTCCAGACTCGACTGCATATTTTTACAAAATTAGTTTTTGTCTGCACTGTCTGGAACCCTAAGGGGTCTCAAAGTCACAGTAATGAGTTCGCTGAACCACTAAAGTGTGTGTGTTTAGTTTTGTCCAATTTACAGCGTGTTTAAGAAATGTTTCGTACACTAAGACAAAAAATGTGAACATAATTACTACGCACCAATATATGTGCAGTATTATTTCATAACGGCGCTAAACTCGGTTCGATATTAAAAAAAATTAAGTCCTAATAACCCACTTTAACGAGTGAAGTTTTATCGGCGTTCGGCAAATAAAACGGATGTGGTAATGACAAGTACAGTATGAATTCTCTTATATGGTGCCCCGTAAATTTATTGTAATTTATTATCTTAATGTTTCTTACGACTTGATAAGAATTCGATTAAATGACTCATGATCGATGTGTAACAAAACACTGCTTGAACTGAAATCAAATATCTTTTATGACAGATGCTTATTCCGACACTATACACATATGCTTAATTGAAGATGATGTTATGAACGAAACTAGTAGTCACTCGCGACTCGGTCCGCCCGGAATTAAAAAATACATTGTTAGTTGCCTATGTGTTCTTCCAGACTATGTTCTATATGCATGCAAAATTTAATCGAGATCCGTTCTGCCTTTCCGGAGATACCTTCAAACAAACATCCATCCATCCATCTAAACGTTCGCATTTATAATTTAAATAGTACGATTGTAATAAGACTATTGATAGGGTTATGTCCACTGTTATTTCTTTTATTATAAAATCTTTTTTATTGTGAAAAATTAACAACGTATTTTGTTGTAAAAATCTTATATACAAAAATACATACGTTGTTCATTTTTAAGGAACTGTAACAAAATAAAGGGAAGCGAAATGTAAATTGCATGCATTAAAAGGATATTGCACCCAATCTCTTCTGTTTATTGCCGACATAAAAACTCGGTTAGTGGCAGTTACATGTGTGAGTGAATACTCGTCGGAATTCTGAGACTCGTATACATGTGTTCCTTTGAACTAAAGAGTTTTTGGAAACAGCTAATGTACAATTATTTTTTACATTTTTCTAAAAAAAAGGTCTCGAGCATTTTTAAAATAAAATTTAATTGTAAAAAATTTTAAACGTGCAATTAAATTGCTACTACTTAAATTTTACTAATACTATAAATGCGAATGTTTAGATGGATGTTTGCTTGAAGGTATCTCCAGAATAGCTGCATAGATCTCGCTCAAATTCGGCATATATGTAGAACATAGTCTAGAAGAACACTGGCTAATATTTTTTTTTTATTCCAGCCGAACAAAGTCACGGGCGAACGTTAGTAATATTGAAAATGGTTATATATTTACATTTTTGAACTGACATGTTCTAGATCCAAATAAAATTTAGTTGAAGTAAAATACTTATTACAAATGGTCAACTATCACTTGGCTATTGAAGTCAAATGGTCGCTTGCTCATAGTTGTCCCATTTACTATTAATTTACCTGTACTAGAGCGAGTAAAGGCGGGCAATTAATCAAAAATCCTTGCGCACACCAAAGTTCCCTCGGCAGCTAACAATCGGAACAAGCTGACGAAATGTTCCAGTATTCGCACGGTCCCTTCTCCTCGGTTTCGCACGATTAACATTTAGCCATTGATAACCCGGACCTTATGCCCGACCAACAGCTCTCGAAACATGCCCGCCCTACTTTTTTAAATGTTACACCTTAAATACATAACTGTAACAGAAATTTGTACCTATATTGTTCCATTAGATGAAGTCCTTCCATAAAAGCTCATTCAAGGCAACTAATGTCTTCTTCGATTGTTGAATTATAATACGATTAATACATACTTTGTAGTATTATACATAACAGTTAACAGAGGTAGAATACCATACTGCGTTAGTCTTCTGGCAAAGTGTACGATCTTCTTTATCTTTTCATACTAAACTATAGCCTTCTGGTTGACGCCGTCCTGCCTTAAATCCTCTTTCAAAAAGGCAGACAACGAATCTGCAATTACAGATGTCTATAGGTAGCGGCCACTTGCTCATTCGCAACCTTATAATATAAAAAAGTAATAAATAGTTGTGGTTAGTTTTAAGTAAACAGATGTAATGACATTGAATATCGTGTCGTTAGCTCTCAACGATTATCTCACAGATATTTCCCGCGCTTTATTACAACCGCTGGGTAATTCTGAGACGCATTACCTGTTCATAATATCCTGCCCGAGATTTATCTTGACACAATCACATAAATATAATAATAATTTTAAATGTAAAATAACATTATTTCAAAACTATTTATTTCAATGAGTATTAAATTTGGTAACAGAAATAGATAAATAAAACGTATCACTATCAAGATGAACACCAATTTTCATCACTTCGTCAAAGAAAAAAGAATCTTTAGAACTGTCTATTATTTTCATGTGTAAATCATCATTATCGTTAGTTCACTACTCGCCCCCAACGAGGGGCTCGGAGCCTACCCTAAGTTAAGGGTGATTAAGCCATAGTCAAGTGCGGGTTGGTTGACTTCACACATATTTTTGAATTTCTTCTCAGATATGTGCAGGTTGCTTCACGATGTTTTCCTTCACCGTAAGAACGTCGGACTAATGTACATATGTAAATCAAAAATCGAAAAACACATTGGTACATGGCGAGATTCGAACCCAGGACTTGTAGATTGCAAGTCAAGTGCTTGACCCCTGAGCCACCGACGCTCTAAAGTGTCTAAATATTAGTTAGAAAATGTAAACCGCATCGGAACAGGACAATTTCCTCCTTAAATTTATGTTTTCAAATAAACCGTTTCAGTCGCAATTTAGTGCATATCTTCTCGTATATTTCAACGTTAGTCCTTTAGTTTCTCTGCCAATTTGGCACAGTACACCGTCTTATTCAAACAAACATCTTACATAGAGGTCTTCTAGATGTCTCAACATCGTCTATGGATTCTAGTGAATTCAGTAAACATAATTTTCGTTCCGCTAATTAGCTTGCGACACACGGTTCGTTAGCTCTTCCAACTAAACATGAACAAGCAACATGCTTTGGAAACAACACGTCCATAGGTGAATACATATTCTAAACAATTGGTAGTACGTTCTCAGACCATCAGGTTCGTATGTTAATTGTTGAAAGTGATAGTTTGGACACACTGTTCCAATGGTGGACATTTTAGCTGTAGATCGTATGTGTACGAATTAACATATGTTATAACAACCAAGTTTTACTAGACAGAGCATTAACTATTATTGGAAATTAAAAATTATTTTAATAACTTTTATAGATACTTGAATTTTGATTTATATTTTTGCGCAATATTACAATAAACAGTAACAAAGTAGTTATTACTTCATAGAGGCATAATTTGCAGTCACAGATTTTATTATTACTATGTCTTCTCCGCCAATCAAAAAAATTTTAGAATAAATTCCAGCTCGATAACTTCACGCGTTTTTGAGAAAAAGGGTCTTGACTATATGGGTTCCGTTTTTTTCCTATGAGGTTCGGAACCCTAAAAATGTATCTAAGAAATTGATTCGACGAACATTCGTTCGTCAATCTAACAATCCGTGTGTAACTTCGTATTAGAGGTAACTAATTGCTTTGAGGTTATCCGGCGCGGCAATTAGACAAGACATGAAGTGGCTCATTGTGCAAACAGAGTTATAGTCACACACTCTCCTTGATGCCATCTAATTTACATTGACACTTGATGCCTTATCGTCGCCATGTTTTCTCCTTCTTTATGCTTTTAGGAAAACAACTTTATGCTTGTTACGCTGTGAAAATAAGCTCGAAAATTGCGCGTACTCATTATATGTTGAACATAAGCTGTATATTACGCTGTAATTCGCTCATTAAACGAGACACTGTTACTTGGAGGACGAACAGATAAGAATACATTATTTATTATAATAGCAACTTGAATATAATGTGTGAGAATTTCCATTTTCTTAGCGCACTCTACCTATTTCCTTTACGAAGAATTTTAAATTAAAAATCTTAAGGATTAAGGAAGAAAACTTGCTAAAATAATTATAAACACTAATTGTAGAGCTAAGCACTTGATAGCACTAAATTTAATTAACTAAATTAGCTTAATGTTAAATACTTATAATATTTATTACTTATGATAGTTATTCATAACTTAGAGGTTTTGAACTTAAATTATTACTGATCACGGTAATAAGATAATACGATTTATATCTGTTCAAAAACAATGAGATCCGCTCGGACTTTCGCTCAATATCTCGGTGTTTCCTCAAAGCAGTATCAAGTTGGGCGTCATAAGTTAAAGTTGCAATCTGGGTACATTAGTAAAGCGGTTATCTTGGCAGGCGAGCGCCGCGACGACCGCCGCGCCTCAATAGCTCTCTGGCCGTGTAACCTTGCCGATGACCCCTACTATGAGTATTGACACTAATATCATATTATATACACTTCACACACAAAGCTTTGAACGTCTTGAAAACAGACAAAGACTGGTGGTACCCAGAAATAGGGATAGAATAGGACGTTCGAGACGGGATTACAGGACGATTTCCCTTTTCTAACTGCTTGTTAGAGCTTTAAAAATAATGTTGTCCAGATAAAACCCGTTTGGGTTCAGTGCATACCAATTCAATTCAGTTTTCCCCTACTTAGCCAATAACTTCTTACAACTAAAAGT